TAAACGTAAACGTAACCGTACTACGTACTACGTACGGTACGGTACGGTACGACGACGACTACGTACGTACGTAACGTACTACTACTACTACTACTATATATATACTATATATATATATATATAATAATATATATATATATATAGTGTGTGTGTGTGTGTGTGTGTGTGTGTGTGTGTGTGTGTGTGTGTGTGTGTGTGTGTGTGTGTGTGTGTGTGTGTGTGTGTATATATTTATATACATATATATATATAGCATGTAACCCAGTTTAAGTGGTGCACGGATGCCAATTCTACACACAGTTGTCGGCGCAGACGCCCTCCCCTGTAAGTGTATAATATATATATATATATACCTTGATTGCAGAGTGGTCCGCCCCAGTTCTTCATGCAGATGCACTCCCAGGGAGAGTGACAGGTGCCGTTCTCACAGCCCGGGTACGTCATGCATTGGTCGCAGTGGGCGCCCTTCCAACCTGACCTACAGCTGAAACAAACAAAGACAGAGATACATGTTGCGTGTGTTTTGATTATCTGAGTATCTTTTGTTCTGAGCATCTTCTGCGAATCGGCAGCGATTTCTACGTGCTACTGGCGTGGCGTGCGAATCAGGGACTGACGAGGCTCACACGCTTTATCGTGTACTACATACAGGCCCATTTTTGTATATATTTGTTGTATTTTTTATATCGTAGTGAGCAAAATGACGTCGAAATCAGCCCATAGATGGCGCTGCGATGTCTTGATTCTGCCCGCGCCACTCGCCGCGTCTGACTTTACGCCTTGCCGTGGTTAGCAACAGCGGCTGTCGCTCTCGGCTGGCTACGACACATTACCACACAATCGGCATATATTACCACACGCGCAACGAAAAAATACACGGCTTTCCGCCCGAAAATATTTAGTCGCCGTGCCACGTACACACTCGCATGCCCACCCCCACTCCCTAGTAACAGCAGCACCAGCAGGCACGCCCATTATATTCACCGTAAGCAAAGCGCAAATATGTACTCTCGCCTCGGCGGGCCGAGCGCGCGCGCGCATCAAGAAAAATACGGCACAACAATGGCGCGACACAGAGACTCTCGTCTGCTTGCGAAATCTCGGGTTTCCGGTTCTCCCGCGCTAACCGTGGTCACAGTGGAGGGTCTGGGGAGTCACGGGTTACTCAGGGAGAGGGAGGAGGGGAGGAGGGGGAGGTAGGGTGTGTGTTGTTGTTGAACGCTGGCTCGTGCGTGGTCGGGGAACAACAGTGGCTGCGTAAACAGACGAGCGGACACGGTCGACAGGTACGCGCACAGCTTTTACCTATGTCTTTTACTGATGTGACAGAGAGTTCCCTCCCAGCCTGGCGGACACACACACTTGAAGCCGTTCACTTCATCAATGCACGTGCCACCCTGGAAGCACTGGTTCGCTGCACAGTCGTTCACATCTATGAAAGTGCGAGAAAGAGAGAGAGAGAACGGCAACATTAATTCTCGTTTATAATTGGTTTTCTGCTATCGACAATGATTTACGAGGTATGTAGTTCTTGTTCGTGTTATTATTATGTGTGTGTGTGGATGTTTCTTATTCTGAAGCTGTGATGCTTGACATTGCAGTGCACACATCAATGCACGTCAGTGACATATATGATGTATGTTTATAGAGCTTAAATAACTGTGGCTTCGCAGAGGCAAAACAAGTTGTGCCTTATAAATGGGATAGTAACAATGATTACGCACAAACCGACTCGGTAGACCTGCAATACCTTCTAATTTTTACTATAGAACGGTTATTCCGAATGAATTTTTATGTGGGACTCACTCTGACTGACACACACTGAGACTTATTGAGAGGTAATTATATTCGACTTTATATTATCGACTTTGATTTTTTATTATTCAACTCAATCAGTATAATTATTTAATTATCATTCATTATCATTATCATTAGTATATTCATTATCATTAGTATATTCATTATCATTATCATTAATTATTTCATATATCATTATTTTATTTATATTATATACGACTTACTTCGATTGCAGTATGTTCCTGTGAAGCCGGTTTCACACACACATCTGAAGTCTCCATTGCTAAGGCTCTCGCATCTACCGTGGTGGCCACAGATGTTTGATGATGCGCGTACGGTTCCCGTCTGACTGCCGTTAGATGGCAGCGGTACCGTGCATGGGTCCAATTCTGCAACGCATGCATGCAAGCAGGGTGAGCGGTGGACGCTGGTATTATTTGTATACAGTCAAACCTCGGTTATCCAAACATCAATTTAACCGAATTTCGGATTACTCTAACAAGATCTGAAGGTCCCGTGAATAATATCCTTTATTTAAGATATCAGATCAGTTATCCGAACAATATACTCCCCGCCCGTCTCGTTCGGATAATCGAGGTTTAACTGTATGTGTATGTATATATATATAATATATATATATCTA